GGCCATGTCCACCACTTCCACGTCCTCCACCATGTACACCTCGACAACCACTTCCAGAAGTAACAAAGGCAGCATGATCAGATAAAGGAGTAGATTCAAATAATCGAGCCCTCTGAAGTCTAGAGAACACATCCTCTAAATTAGGTAGTTTTGGACTCCCAATAATTTAGACTCTTACTGATTCATATTCAGGTTTGATACCCAGGAGAAATTTAGCAACATATAACTCTTTCCTCTACTTATCCATAACTGTAATATCACTAGTGATAGGCTGGTAAATATTTAATTCTTCACAAAGATTCACATATCAGAATAATAGTTTTCAACGGACTTATCTCCCTACTGTAAACTAAAAAATGATTGAAACAACTGATACATTCGGGTGATATTATTGCTACCTGAATACATCCTCTTCACTTGATCTCAAATCTGTTTAAACATATCCAGAAAAATAAGTATGCTACTGATTTTGGTCTCCATGAAATTCCACACCCATGTCTTAATTTGTGCATCTTCTTGAATCCACTCCGAGTACTTTGAGTTTTCAGTCCCTGCCTTCTTATCAATAAGATACTTAAGTTTTCCGTTGGCTATGGGAGAAACTTCTACAGATTTAGCCCAAATAGCATAGTTTCCCCTTAATAGTGGTTAACATAAAGTTTATAGGTATCATAAAAGTTGCCTTGGGATTCCCTCTTGGTTTGAGTCCACTAGAGGGTTACACACATCACCAGTCACTTTTCGTAGCAGTTGTGACGGTATAGACCATCACAAATCACCTAGGAATTTATCTGGGTTCGACTCTAATCACCAATAATAGTTGCAATACACTCAGAAGAGAAAAAATCAACCGATTAAGGAGGAAACAATGAAAAGAAACCCTAATCACTTCACTTGCTCTGATACTATGAAAACACGGTAATCACTATCAATCAAAGAAACCATAAATAAAATAAAAGAAAAAAGGAGAAAGAAGAGAACAAAGAGGAAGAGAACTAGGTTAAAATTAATTAAAGAATAGTTTAGAAATCATTAATCCTCTAAACTAGTCAGCCCCTTACTTATATTAGTATAAATTAAAAGTGTTTACAAAAATACCCCTGTTTATGATAACCTATGGACAGGAGTACCCTTACTATAAGAAAGGAAATACTAAGCTATCCTACTACCCCAAATACAAGAAATATGTCCTATGCGAATAATGCATTATTTTGGCTAATTCGACCTTAAATTTAGTGTTAATAATGTATTTATGAGATTTATATGTGTTTCCCAAATGTACCCAATTGTTTCTATATCTTTTGTCTGTATCCATGTCTTTCCAAAGTGTATCAGTATCCATATTTACATCCAAGCTGTTCTATATGATTACCAATACTTTAACCCTAGACCAAAATATCAAATTCTTTCACAACACCACTATTAGAAGAAAAGTGAGAAACAAGGTGGTGAGGACAATCAAAACCTAGAGAGGGAGGTCTCTAATGAAGAGGTCAAAATTACCATCTTCTAAACAAAACCTAAAAAAGCCCCATACTCTAATAGTTACCCAAATTTCTTTTAACAAAAGTTTTGAGATACCATTGGAGAGGATGTTTGTAAAGCTGTGAAAAGTTTCTTAAGAGTGGTCTTTACTAAATGAGCTCAATTCAATTCAACTTTCATTGCCTTTATACCCAAGACCAAGCACCTAGGGGAAGCTAGTAGCTTTAGGCCCATTAATTTATGAAAATATACATATAAAATCATTACAAAAATTCTAGCACTTAAACCTAAGTTGAGCTATATCTCTCACAATTAAAGTGCTTCCCAGGAAGGTAGATCTATAAGTGAAAACATCCTTATTGCTTATGAGATTTTCTATAACATGAATCACACAAAAGCAAAGAAAGCATCACGGCCATAAATTTTTACATGAATAAAACATCGAATGGTGTCTTCTAAAAAAATAATGAAAAATTTAGCTTTTGGGGCAATATGGGTTTGATAGTTTATGAATTATGTTACCTTTATTATCTTTCAAATTCTTGTAAATGGAATTCCCAATAGGGAAGTAATGATCCCAACTAGGGGGGTTTCATCATGAAGACCTATGTCTCCCTATCTCTTTCTACTATTCTTTGAATTATCTTTTTTGGCCCCGTTCTCTTTTTGGTAAGTTACTTACCTAGGTAAATGCACTTATCCGGATAAGTGTTTCTTGGGAAACATTTACCCGGGTAGCTACATTTACCCATGTTCTTTTGTTTCAGGTAAGTAAAATAATGACAATTTTAGCCATAAAAATTCCATTATCAAAAGGGGCATTTTTGTCCCATTCAAGTGTTGGCAACTTTCCTAAGGTGGGAAAGTTAATTTACCCACCTAGGAGATGGGTATCACTATACCCAGGAAACTAAACATTCCTTGGTCCCCACATAAATCAGAAAAAAGAACATAGGTTTTTTGGCAATCCCATTTACCAACTTTCACCCCTCTCAAAATCTTAAAAATGAACACCCCCTTTATGTTAACTGCCGTGGTGTTAAAATCATCAAATCACCAGAAGAACCTTGGAAAATCTGATATCTCTTTCAACAAAAATCTACATAAAAGATTGCAAAAGTCCAAACTAATTGTCAATAATAGGGGTGAGCATGGGTCGGTTCGGTTCGGTTCCATGGCAGAACCTAGAACTTACCCTGTAGGGGTCGGTTCCAGGTTTTTGGAACCAGAACCTACCCTGTGAAGGTTAGTTCTGGCCTTGGTGATTTCGAGGTTGGTTCTAGGACCGACCTCATGAAACCTGTTATTTCTTTACTCTCCCCTTCAAGAAAAAAAAAAGTGAAACATGTCCTTCAAAAACTTGATTTTCAATAGTGATAATATATGGTTTAAAACTTATATTATATTTATTGATTAAATTGAGTAATTTAATATGTAGATCATCCTAATATATTAATATATGATTGAAGATTTGTCATTATAATTTAAATTTTGTAAATATTACCTTTTACATTATTTATTATACACATACAAATATTAAAATGAAAACAAATGATCACATCACTTGAGTAACTTGATAGTCAAGTGAGACCATGGCTTTTGTAACCATGAGTGCTTGGGCTCAAATTTTTATATCTTTAAAAATATTTTGGGGTTTATTTCAAGGCAAATTTAGTTTTAAGGCCAATTTATCGAGTCGGTTCGGGTAGGATAAACCTCTAAACCCTGGAACGGACTTGGGTGGGAGTCGGTTCCAAGAATTTGGAACCAGGCACTATCTTATAACAGATTGGATAAGGTCGATTCAAGGCCAATTTGAGGTTGGTTCCATTCGGTTTTGGGTAGAACCTATCCATTTGCTCACCCCTAGTCAATAGCCACTAAAAACAAGAATGCTCTATGGGCCCTGGTTTGCCAATTAATTGTCAGATTAACACGTTCATCCCATAAAAACCCACCAAACCGTCATTTAACTAGGGTCCTAGAAAGGCCACTACTTAAATTATGAAGTGTGTAGCCTATTATTTGAAAGTGGCTCCAAGGCCCAAACTTATTGTCAACTGCCATGTAAAATTAAAAATTGTTGGTGGATGCATAATTATACATATCGATCCAATACGCTATTACATTGGAAACTATGTCCCACTATAAAAAATTGAGGATGGCATGATTTGAACCACATCTCACTAAATGGCCAAGAGCATATGCATCTTCAACCACCAAGGCACTTAACACTTTCAATAATAAAAGAAATATATTATCTTTTATCAACATTAAAGTCTAGTAGTCTACATACAACCCAAATAAACAATATATACTAATATTCAACAACTCTAACTATAAATTAGAAAGAATAATTTTTTAAATTATTATTTTATGAACAATTGAATAAATAATTTATCAAATCTACATATATACCAAAAATTAAATTTTAATTTCAAGAAATTTATACAAATAAAATTATTATTAATAGAATAATTATTTTAATACTTAAAATTTATGAATTTGCACATTATATGCATATTCAATTTTTTAAAAATTATTAAATAATATTTTAATTTGAATTAAATAATAATGTCTTTACTATTTAAAAAATAAAAATATTATTTACAAAATATTTGAGAATATAACATAAATTGAATTGTTCAATTCCACTAATCTACATTTATATAAAAATAAAATAATTTCGCATTTTAGAAATTTTATAAAATAAAGATATTAATAAGGAAATAATTATTTTAGTAATTAAAATTTATAAATTTTCATATGATATATATCTTCAAAATGTTAATAGATTTGATATATTTTAAGTTAAAATTATATGTTTTTGATAAGTTATTAATTAATAATTTACATTTTATAATAACATATTTATTTTTTAAAAAATGAAAATAACATATTAATTTTTTATAATAACATATTTATTTGAGAATTGATTTTTTTGTTGATTTTTTGTTAATGTTAAAAAATAAAAATATTGATATAGTAATTCAAATAGAATAATTGCATATGTCTTGCACCTTGGACTTTAATAGAAAATAAAATAATAATGACTTTGTGCATGTATTAATTTCTAAGAATCTAGGACTTAGATTCTTGATTGATGCACTATCAATAAAATTGCATAATATCTATGCATCTTGCTATATTAATTGTAATATATTTCTTCATATATACCATTAAAATATAAACATCCTATGCATTTATATATTATTTATAATTATTTTAACATTAACCACAATATTTTTAATATATTTATAGAATTTCTATGCATTTCCCTAGTGTCTCCAAACATTTCTATATTTTTCGTCCATATCCATGCGTATCCTAAGCATATACGTATCCGTATCCATATCCAAATTATTTGATACAATACCCGATACCGATACTTTGATCCTTGCCAGATGTGGAAAATTAATACCTCTTGCCTTCTATTATTCTAGGTAGTAGATTCATTCCCCTGACCTGCTCTTGCAATGATATCTTTAGTGAACTCTGATAGTCTGATGGGTATATACAGAACAGTATCAAGCTATAAAAATTAATAGAAACCTCCAGGAAAACAGTAACAAGAGGCTGCTGAATTAGAAATCCCTTAAATCAGATATATACAGAAGACATGCAAGGGGTATCACACCACATGCTATTTTGGAACTATTACAACTCATGTTGCAAGAACCAAAAGGAGGGATCGCATCCTCACTATGATGATGAACGCAACACCATTGGGGGTTGCCAAAAAAAAGCAAAGCCCTTCCTCTTTAGTGTTCAAGTGCCCTTCATGTTGAAACTGCACCAAACCATTACACTTTTCTGCCGTTTCTACTTGGAGAACAAATAAAGGCACCGGATTACTACTACCTAGAGTTGACTGGCAACCTACCAGAGGGTATCAAAGGATGCAGTTTAAGCAGGGCAAATGAAAAGAGAAACCACGCTTCTTTCTGCAACACCACAAAATAACACAGAATCAATAAGGGGCTTTGTGTTACTTTCACCCATTTTCAGTGTAACCTGCTCTTCAGCCTTGACTCATATCAGTTAGGTTGTTCAGAACTTGGAAGACCAGTTGATTGAATGCTTGGTTTATGTGGGAGACTTCCAGTCAGCTTGGGGTACTTGTGCTTTTCCTTTTCTTGTTGTAAAGATAACTTGTCTGAATGGAAATGAATTTCGCCCAAGACCGATTCGGGCTTCCTCTTAAGCTTTTTCTTCACCAATGAGCCATCTGTTCTCTGGACCTCATTCAAGAAGGTACCTGTACTTCCCTTTACTTTTTCTTGTTTTGGCATGCGGTCAAGATTAAAACCATTTGTAGATGAGTTGGGCATTCTGACAGATGTTGAAATGTGTTGACTTGCTACTGCCATGTTTGAAGTCATCCTGTTGGGTGGAGTTAAGACATGGCAATTCATATCAGTAACCAGTCTCTCTTGTATCAACCGTGCGTGAGCAGTTGTAATAGCTTCACCACAAATGCCCTCTTCTGCTCTTGGAGCAGTGGACAACTTTTTCCTCCTGATCTTCTGATTCTGAGCATGAAAAATTATCAAATATTAACCTCTGCAGATAAAGTTCATTACCAAAGAAAACCAAGTCTCAGCGATAAACCAATAATGTCTCATGCAAAGTAAGTTCGGTTGGTCATTAATTCTTATGGATTGTGATCAAGTTCACTCAGTCATCTATTATTAGTGAACTTTGGTCAACCATATTGTATGATTCTAGCATACTTCTAGGTACAAGCATAAAAGTATGAATTTATCTTTTGGGTTGTCTTCCACACACAACAACAACAAAAACAATGCTGATGAGGTGATGATGATAACAAATGTTCATCATGTTTGGTGGGTAGTAGGCACATATTAATGAGGTTAAACTATGCATTTATTTTTTTTCTGAAAAAATATTATATTAATGCTATGTATATGTCAAAAAGATTACATCAGCACCCCATGTACACCAAGGCACCCTACAATGTGATTATTCTCAAATAAATTTTCAACATCAAAAATAAAGGGCAGCCCAGTCCACGAGCCTCCCACCAATGTGGGGTCTGGGGAGGGACAGATGTATGCAGCCTTACCCCTGCACATACAGAGAATGTTTCCAAGATTTGAACCCTGGTCACCCAGGCCACAATGGAGCAACCCAGCCATTGCGCCAAGGCCCACCCTCAAACTTTCAACATAAAAAAAAGGAATTATAGTGAACACCCCTAAAGTTCTTGTGTATCAACAGCGATGGCACTTAGAGCTACTTTTATGCTCAAAATTATGTACATTGCTTTCACTCATGTGGTCCAAGAAACTACTAATACTATCAAGTCCCATGTACCCCTTCCTGATCAGCCTCGAAATATATCTTTGACTGAAATTGGAAAACATTCTTTAACCTGAAAATTCCTAAACATCTTTCCAACAGCTTCATAGAATCTTGACAGTGCAGAAAAAGAATGCTTAACCAATTCTGGATGCATAGAGCACAGCAGAAGTGAGCACCATCTCCTTCATAGGAAAATTGCCCCATGTCCATCCATCCATTACTTGCTGCTAATCAAATTTTGCAATAGGCCAAGCTCCAAATTCCATTGACTTGATACTAAAAAAGTTGTAATTTCAAAATCAGGATTAGCCAACCAGTGCATTGATTCTAAAAGTTAGGATCAAGGATTCTGGTTGGTCAGGTTAGCTTGCAAATCACCTCAGTAACGAAATTGTTCAAAGGTCAAAAGCCAACCTTCAGAATAAAATTCGGGTCAATCTTTTGACCTATAACATTGAACAGGTCAAAACATGATGATTTGATCAGTTGTGGTTGGCTCAGGACCAATCATTTGATGTATCAGTTTAGCTTGGGAGCCAGACTAGTACTAAGTTTATTCAAAAATCAGCTCAAGCAACTGAACTGGATGGTAACATGGTTTAGCCATGTTTATAATATTTTCTTTAATTTATTTTTAGCACAAGACCTAGAAAATTTTCATTAGTTTTATTTAATTTTAGTAGCACAAGACAACTTCAAATGATCTTAACCATTGGATGTGATTTAGAGATGCAACAGGAGCAACCAAAGCTTTATATTCAGGATCTATTTTTTGGGATTTTTTTTTTATATTCAGGACATATTGGTGTTGGTAATTCTATCAAAGCAGAAAAATGGCACTGCTACAAGGCTTATAGATAGCCAAGAAGCTGGGAATCCAACATTTGGAGGTGAGAGGGGGACCCTAAGGTGGCCATACCTTGGTTCAACAGCAATATTCCAGAAGATGGGGTTTATAGGCCTGCTGTAAGGGAAATCCAGTCTTTAGCTAAGGAAGTGGGAGTTATTTTTTATTGGATTAGGAGAACAGGAAATGGGCCAGTGGATTGTTTGGCAAAGCAAGGGGTTCATAGGGAACAATTGTTCTGGGCTAATTTGTAATTGAGCTGTATTGGAAATCATTATGGAAGTCTGGACTTTTCCAGCCTTTGTACTCATTCTGTTTTATCTTTAATTAATGAACTTATGTTGCTTATCAAAAAAAAACTCTTAACCAATGGTTAAAACAGTTAGCCCAAGACCTAGACAAATTTCTAGATTGACATCTAACCTGTCTCAAGAAATTACTACAAAGGCACTTTTTTTTTGCACTGATAAGATGCTTGAAAAATCTTCTAATAATTCTCATTTCCAAATAAACATCTATAAAAAACATTGGTCTTCCCAGAATATATTTCAAGGAAAGATGGTTTCAAAACCTTTGAGAATGCATTCCAAGTAAACTTACCTTTTTCTGAAATAAGGAGCATAAACATCTAGTTCAAATCATCTTAAACCAAGTTTTCCTCCAATTAGAAGGTCATGACAATAGAATTAGGTCACCAGATCCTGTGGGACATTTCACTCGTAAATCTTTCTTCAGAGCTCTCAACAATCTCCCTTCTGATCTTTCTCCCTTTTTCTTGAGATTTGGAATGGACCCACACCACCAAAAATTAAAGCATTTGTAATGGTAAGCTGCTCTCAAAATCATCAACATGTGTGACACTCTTCTTAGAAAAAGAATATCATGGTACCTTTCCCCTCATGTTATATTCTCTGCTATGGTGTGGGGGAAGTGTTGAACATCTTTTCTTTATTGTCCCACTCATCTATGGTGTGGAATCATTTTTTTTTCACCCTTTTTGGATCAAGATGGTCCAGTGCGGATAAATATAATGGAGCAATTCAGCAATCATATTCAACTACTGCATACCTTAAGGGGGAGATTTTATGGTATTGCACAAGAGCAGGGGGAATGCTATAGTTTTGGAGAAAAAACAAAAGATGTGCACAGTATTTTAGAAAATTCAATGGTGAAGACAGCTCATTGCGTTCTCCTACCAAGGAGTTTAAAGGTCTAACAATTGATGTACTATGAGGCTTGGATACAGTGGCCAGACTCTCCTTGAGAAAGAACTGTATTGAAAATCTACGGTAAGCACAAGAGGTAGGGAAGCTGAAATTCAACTTTGACGAGTACAGTCTTAGCAATCCGTGATCATCAGGCATAGGTATGGTAAGAGACCATCTTGGGAATATTATAATGAGTTTTAAAGGACCAATTGCTGTAGGAAGCTCTTTAAAGTCTGAGATTTCTGCACTTCTACAAGGATTAAAAGTAGCCCAATCACAAGGATGATCAGATCTAACGATTGAAGGAGACTGGAAGCTGGTCCTGGGATGACTGGAGAACAAAGATGAGGGTCCTTGGAGGCTGCAACAGATTATCAGACAAATCATTGTTTTTGCATCCAATCTGAATTGCCCATTCAGATGGACTCTTCATTCAGATAACTCAATAGCATAGTCGTCAAGGCGTCGCCTAGGTGACTAGGCACCCTTGGCTGGGCGCCTTGCCCAAACGCCTTGACTTTTAGCAACTAGGTGCCCTTCTAGGCGACTAGGCACCCGCCTAGGCAACAAAAATGACAAGGCGGGCACCTTTTATAATATCATTTATATTGCTGTATCTTATTAATGTATGTGTTAATACATTTTATTATATGCTATATATATCAATTATACTTTGTTTTAATGTTTTACTATTGAAATTTAAAAGATCAAAGGGTTTTGAGAAGAGAAAAGGAAAGAAACAAAGAAACAAAGAAACAAAAGAAAGAAAAGAAAGAGGAAAGAAAGAATAGAATAATAAAGATATTTTTTCTATTCTCTCTCTCTCTCTAATTAAATAAAACAGAAACTCCATCCTTGTTTTTTTTTCTATTTTACTTTCCATCTTGAATATTTATCATATAAAGTTGATAACCATCTTTAGCTGCTAATTAATATGAATTTTCTCTATTAAATACTTATTATAGTAATATTATTTTTGAAAATAATGAAATCAATGTGTAAAAGATTTTTATCTTTTAGATGTGATGATTTGCCACATTTTTAGAGGAATTTTAATGTTCTTAATAAAGAGAATTGAATTTTTTTCAATTAACATACATGCTGAATGGAATATAAAACTAGGAAACTAGCCAAAAGTAAGATTTTTATATTATAAAATTTGTATCGCCTAGGCGACGCCTAGGCACAGTTTCTTTTTATCTTTTTAGATGTCTAGGCCAGGTTATGGTGGTGGTCTGAGAAGCTTTGAAAGTCTGAGGAACTGTGAGGTGGTGGTGAGATTTTAGCAGAGGACGTTCTTGATGTGTTTGGAAGTTTCACCTCTCGGATGCCAAGACTCCCTTAGAGTCTCTCCCTCATGTGGAATAGTGGATAATATCTTGTTGAGAGGATCTTCAGGCTGTCAGGTGGTTACGCCACCTCAGAGTCATTATGACAGATAGCAAAGAGACATAGAAGAGTGAGGTGAAAAATGGGCGATTAAAAGACACTAAACACAGCAAGAACAAGAGAGACCTCCCTAGCCAAAAGCAACTTAGTCATCTCCTTCTAACACTTCATTTAACTGTCTCCTTCCTCATCCCACTCCTCTCCACCTCCCCCTACTATATTCTTCTTCAAACTCTCTTCCCTCTTGCTCCTTTCAAATGCTTCAAAAGCCCTTCTAACAAACTCTTCTCCTCCCCCCCCCCCCAAAAAAAAAAAAAAAAACAAAAAAAAAAAAACTAAGCTCTTGCCAACCCTAACATTTCTTTTAGCCAAACTCTCAATCTCCACTTCCTCCCTTCTTCACACTGCCTGACTGAGCGACATTTAGATTCTTGACAAAATATCTACCACCTTTGTCCTTTTTCTCGGTTCCTGACCATGCCTCAATTCTTCCTCAGCGGAAGACAACAGAAGCAACCGCTGCATCTCCTCCCCCTTTGAAACTTGGAACTTGACTCCCCAGCCCTCAACAGCCTCCTTCTTCGAAGTTCAAACCTTTGACCTTTGTTCCTCAATTCTTATATACTTTATTAAATTTATTTGTAGGGCCAGCACCAACGAAGCCGTCTTTTAATCTCAAAAAAACTTTAGAAACATGAACAATATGGAACTTACCTGAATCTCTGACTTTCTTCAACACCTCTGAAGAATCATCGTCCTCTTC